GTCCAAGATCCAATGATTTATGCACAGAGCCATAGATTTGTCAAGGGTCCTACTGAGTTAATTTTAAGACAGAATGGATTTCACTCTGTCTTTTTTTTTAATGTTATCTTTGGAAAAGCTCTGAAAATGAACAAAAGTCATGAAATAGCATTCTTTGCAAATAGAACTGCTGTGAGAGAGAGACAGAGAGTCAGTGACAGAGAGAAAGAGAGAGTAGACCCCACACAAAGACTTCTGGGGTTACAATGAGGGTTAAGTCACATTAACAGTTTTCATCATTTACCGAAGACTTCCAAAGTCAGGTTCATTTGGAAAACAAGTCCCACAAAAGACTTTTCTGAAATCCAGCATTTCTCGGGCAAAGTTCCAAAACCAGCCTTAAGGAGTGCCACCTCATCCCAGCACCCCCGTGTCCCTTCTGGCCTCAGCTGCAGAAGCCAGGCAGCCCCTTGCTTAGGATATTTTCTTCCTGGAGTTTGTCTCAGTACACAGAAGGAAGAAAAAGGTATGTCCCAAAGAAAACAGTGAGGGCTTCTGGGTCCTGTTCAGACTTTGGGATGAAGTCCTAACACAGCAGTCAGTCCACAGGCAGACAGACACACTTGATGTTCACTGTCTCTCAGGTTATTCCAGCAAATGGATCTACTGGGAGTGATACAGTGTCCTTATTCTCTGAGACTTTAACAAAAATTCCTTTGTATCATTTATATTTCTGGCCAATCTGTGAATGGCTTGACTACTGATTGATGAGAAATGCCCAGCTCACAACTGTGCTGTGTTCCAGCACTGTGAAGGCTGGTCAGGGAACTCGGCATCTACTTTCCTCACAGTGTTGCCCAAGCTAGCCATGAACTCTTGGGCTCAAGCCATCCTCCTGTCTCAGTCACCCAAGTAGCTGAGAATAAAGGAATGCAGCACGTGCCAGCTAAAACAATATTGTAAGTGTCGGTTTCCAGGCCAGATTCAAAAGCCTTCTTCCCTCAGATGTTGAAGACCTGAGCTTTTACAGGGAAAGAGAGCAGAAATCATTGTGAAGATGTATTCATAAACTGAACCAAATGTGAAAGATTTAGTCTCCTTTAATTCTGAAGCCTGGTAGACAAAGAAACCAGTGAAGAGGACACCGCGGGGGAAACAAGACATTTTAGGGGAGACTTCTGCTCATGAGAATGTGGGAAGCCTGACACAGCAGTGTGTCATTTTTTTTTTCAGTTTTGCCTCTAGCCATTTTTTTTCCATTTATCTTCCTACAAGTATGAAACAAGCAGGATAGACAGAAGAAGGCAGTGAAGGATGGGGGAAAGATGGAAAATAAAAATGTTTGAAATAGAGGTCCTTCCTTGGGGGTATGGAGTTAAATCATAGCCCTGTGAGAACTGGATGAGCCAGGGTGAGCTGGTGAGGAAAATGTGAAGAATGGCGGAGACAGTGTTACAGGCCCTTGACCAGCTGGAAGAATGGAGTCCACTATTTGGTCAGACAGTACCTCTTCTGGCCATAAGGTGGTGCCATAAGCCCAGCCAGTCTGCCCCAATAGGCTGGGGCATGCAGGGGGCGGAGCTCCCCAGTGTAAGCCATGTTCCCCACTCAGCCTCTGGAACCTTCAGGAAGCCTGCACAAGGGACCTGTGTCAACTTGTAATCACTGCCTCAGCGGGATGGAATAATCCTATCTTCTAGGGCCCCACCTGCTCACACGGGAGCAAGGTTACCTTCTGTCCTGCTGGACACCACAGCCCACATGGAGGAGTTCAACCCATTCCTTTGCACTCCATTCATCTTGTTCCAGAATGCCAGTACCCATCCCAGACCTTTCTCTGAGTCCTAAAGAGAATCCAGTCAAAGAGCATCCTGCATCACAGTAGATCCATCCCAGGATGATAGATCTTCCACAGTGAGCACAGATTCGGCAGCATGGCACAGCCTTACCACGTGACTGGCCATCTAGCCAGCCTGGTCTCCCTCTTCAGTACCAAACTGGATAGCCTCATTCCTGACGCAAAACTCACCGTGTCCCCTCTCCTTGTGTTTTGCCTCCGCAGAAACATCCTTTCCCTTGCCTTCACGTGGCAATACCCCTCCTCTAGCTTTCAACCCAAACATTTCTCTCTCCAAAACCTTCACTCTTGGACTTGATGGAGGGTGGCTGGAAGAGGGAAAACATGGGGTGGAGCAAGCTTTATTTGTCAGAACACAATCAAAATATCACACAACATTTCCCCATTTTGTCCTAAACAAAAAAGGGAAGGCTTTAACTAACATAGTAAAACTATAGACAATAAATACAATGATGATATACAAATACATACAGGCAAGAAATATATTAACAATGTCTAGTCCATTTGCACAAGTCTGGATGTCACAGACAGACCAGATCTGTCTCAGCAGTTATATGTCTCAAACTGTCCAGACACTGGAACCCCAGGGCAGCACTGGCTGGCCCGTCCTTGCTTCTCTAAGTCTTTGATTCCATTTAAGGTGGACATTAGATTTAGAGAAGACGCCAAAGTTTCGACCTTGATGTGTGGTGCAGTGCCTGTGCTCAACCCATGCTGCCTTAATAAGTGCCATCTACTGTCCCCAGCCCACTCCACTTCATCTGCCAAACCCAGTCTGAGGGACTGATGAGCTAAAGGAATCTGCAGGGAAAAGGGGATCACAACAAAGGTGTGCCACACCCTTCTCCAGCCTCATTCTGTCCTGGGCCTTTGGCCCAGCGGATCGCCCAGCAGACCTCCCAGTGAGTCCCAGTGAGACGAAGTGGAAGAACACCCTTGTCCAGGTGCTTCTGCCTTGACCAGGTGGTCCAGAGACCAACCTTCAAGAAGGGTTGCTGTGTGCTTACAGCACCCCACACACATCAAGCCACTGTGTGCTCTTTCTAAAGCAGCAATTGGCTCAGATGAGAACCATGAAATTCCTTTGAAAGTTGGAGTAAAAGCCTCAAGATGATTTTTTTTAAAACCATGCATGTTCTCCGAGGGCAGGTGCAGGGCCTCACTGCAGCAGGACAAGGTGGGTTTCCTTCTACTGCCTTGAATCTCCAGATTCTGTTTCTCTGGTGCTACTTCCGTTCCTGGAAGAGGCCATAGAGGTCTACCCAGCTCTAAGGTTAGGTAAGGCTGAGGGCTGCTTGACTCTCCCAGGAAATTTTCGGCCTTAAAGAGTTTGGGGGGATGGGTGAGACCAAAATGTTTTTGTTTGTTTTATTTTTAAAGATGTACGGGGGGGGGGGGGGCTTTTCGTAAACTTATAAAGGAAGCTGGAATAAAGGAATAGTTAATTCAAACAAGCAAGGTGGCCAATGAGGATGGCCCATCGGTTATACCCACTGTTCACCACCTCCCCAAAAAGATGAATGAGGAAGTCACTGTTATTATAATCATGGGTACAAGTGGCCAGTTTCTTCTGGCCATCGAAGACTAAGACATTCAAAGTGGACCGTTTCCCGGGGTCCAAGAGATGGAGAGCTACTATGGGCAGAAGCTCCAAGAGGTCCTGCTCCTGGAAAGTCCATTCCGAAGGCACCTTCCCACATCCTCCCTTACTTCCTCCAGTCTGAAGCAGCGGTCACCCTGATCCCCAGCCTCTGCCATCTCCTCGCTGGAAGGCAGCTGGCACCCAGGAAAGCTGAGCAGCAGCAGAAAGACAACCTGCGCGCCCATCTCTACAAGCCCTCCCTCAGGCGTGTCGCACGTGAGGCGCAGTAGAGGCAGAGAGTGCGCCTCGGTGCGGAGGCCCAGGGTAGCAGTCGCCGCGGGCGGTGCGTGATGAAACCTCCCTGGCGCATTACAGCAGAGTGCGCAGGCAAGCGGGGAGTCGGGCAAGGACGTGGGTTGAGAGCTGGTACCCAGGCTCACCTGTTCTCTAGGGTAGAGAATGCGGGGGAGGGGCAAGTAGTCCCAATGCCGGATGAGGGCCCGGTGGCGCTGGGTGCAGCGCTCGCCTCTTCACCCTCCCCCAACCAAGCTAGCCCCCCAAACTAAGCCGTCGGGGTTAACGAGGCCAAGAGCAGCAGTTCCTGTCCCGGGCCGGCGCGAGGGAGACGTGAGCGTGCACACGTACACACACAGCAGGGGGGAGAGGCGCTCCCAGCGGCGCCCAACTTTCTCCCTGCTTCCTCGAGCCGGGGAGATAGCAGCTGAGGGCGATCTGATTCCCAGGGTGCTTAAGGAGGGGGCTCCAAAAGAGGGAGAAAGGATGGAGAGAACGTCCTGGGATTTGGGGGTTTTTTTGCTTTTATTTTTGCATCAGAGGACTGAGGAGTAAAGGAAACCCTCAGCTGGGCGGAGTGGCGCTTAGGAAAAATGGAAGCGTGTGTTTGGAGATGCCTAAAGTTGTCTGTCAAGCTCTGGCCCCTGGAGCACGCGATGCTCCGCGGCCGCCTGACCCAAGGCTGCCTGGGCCTCCTAGCGACTCGCCAGGAAATGATGCAAGTCTGGATTGTCACCTGGATCCCTGAAGCCCAGACAGGAATCCGTCTGGATTGGGGGAGGGGCGAGACAAGACTCTCCAGGTGTTGCAGGGACCCACCAAATCGGGGCCAAAAAAAAAAAAAGTGGGAGGTGAACTGTCTCTCGGGCCAAGTGCTTCGGGGGTTTTGGCGCCTGTCCTTCGAGCGCCTGTTCTTTAAATGCCAAGCGTCACGACGCTTAGGAATTCCCATCAGAGCTCAATTTGCTCGCACCATCTCTGTGCCCAGGTATCTGTTCCAATCTACCATGGCCTCGGGGCTTAGAATGTCACCGAGTTCCAAAGAGGAAACTTTCCCAGCCGGAAGAGAGCCCCTGAGGACGCTGTCCTAGTGAGGACCGACCCTCCCCGCCCTACCCCACCCCCTTTTCTTAATCTTTAGTTGCAACTGGGACTGGCATCCGCTTTGACTTTTTTTTTTTTTCCCTCAGCCCGTTCGGCCATTGCCCCCGAGCACCCGCACACGCGCACGCGTCTCGGGCCTCGCTCACACACACACGCACGCAAAAGCGTGGCAGCCGCCAGGTCGGCAACTTTGTGGGGGCGCTCGCCGCGGCGCTCCGCTTCCTCCCGCTAGTAGTTGGCGCAGGCCCCGCCTCCCGGCTGTGTTGTCAAACGGGCCGGGGTCTCGGATTGGTCCAGCCTCCGGGACAACACCTGCTCGACTCCTTCATTCAAGTGACACCAGAGCTTCCAGGGATATTTGAGGCACCATCCCTGCCATCGCCGGGCACTCGCGGCGCTGCTAACGGCCTGGTCACATGCTCTCCGGAGAGCTACGGGAGGGCGCTGGGTAACCTCTATCCGAGCCGCGGCGAGGAGGAGGGAAGGGGCGAGCAAGGAGGAAGAGTGGGAGGAGGGGGAAAGCGGCGGAGGAGGAAGAGGAGGAGGAGGGGCGCACAAAGAATCCAGGTCTCCCGGCGGGAGGGTGATACCCAGAACCATGTGTGCCGAGCGGCTGGGCCAGTTCGTGACCCTGGCTTTGGTGTTTGCCACCTTGGACCCGGCGCGGGGGACCGACGCCACGAACCCTCCGGAAGGTCCCCAAGACAGGGGCTCCCAGCAGAAAGGCCGCCTGTCCCTGCAGAACACAGGTAAACGCGTGCGCCCTGCAGCCTGGAGCTACCGGGGAAAACACGGTGCACGCCCGCAGCGCTCCCCGTGCGTTTAGCCCTAATCCGGCGACCCGAGCTCACCCCGGGCCGCGCAAATTCTTGGTGGCTCGGGACGTGCAGAGGGGAAGAACGAGGAGAAGCGAGGTCTGGGCCGGGCTCCGAGCGCCCGGAATCCGCACGTGCTAGCAGGGTGATGAAATGGCTGAGGCAGGACTTGTTGCTGCTCTCCCCCAGGGCTGAGGGGAAACGAGGCAGCGCTTGGCGCTGCCAGTTCCAGCCAGAGTCCCAGGCCCCGCGCAAAGGCGCACTTCGTCCCGGCTAGCCCGTGCGAGACACCGAGAGTCCTCGGAACTGGGCTCGCCCTGCGCCCAGAGAACTTCTCTTCCAAGCCGGCCAGCCTGGCATGGACTGTCTCCCCTTCCTTTAAAGATTACCGGACATCCCAGAACTTTGCTGGCCAGTTAAATGGCATCAAGAACTTTTCCTTTGGGGGAGGGGGTTCGCAAAGTGTTCCTCTATGGTTCTGCCGCGGTCCCTTGCCCCTAGCCAGGTCAGCAAGGGAAGAAATGTTGACACGACCCAAATCGTGCGCCGGCCCTGCTCACCGCCAAGCTGCAGCGCAGAGCCTGGCGTGCGGCACACGGGGCTGGCCTTCTTCCCAGCTCCCGGGAGAGAAAGAAACGTGTCTGCCGCTCGGCTCCTTGCTCACGCCCCCATCCCCGCTATTCCCCGGGGGGCCGTGTGAACGCGGCGGCCGTGGCGTGCGTGCGCTCCTTGCCTGAGCCGAAGTGCACAAATGCTGGTCAGGGCCGCCCAAGTGTGTGATCGCTGAACTGCCCGCGGCCACGCGTGGAGTCAGTTCAGCCTCTCGGCCCCGGTTGTCCAGGGGCGCAGTCGAGGGTCCCTCACCCGCCCTGCCCCTCAGTCTCTCTCTAGATTTCATCTGATACAGATTTTTCGACTCGAGCCCCGCCCTTCTTCCAAAATACACTTTCTTAGTGTAATTTTGCGGTTGGTTTAAATCGTAGAACTGAGTGAGCCCAAGAGGGCTTGAGACTGCACTCCCGCAGCCCGACAGCTCCCATTCTGTCCTTTCAGGCTGACGAATTAGGACATCTTGGAAGAGGTAGCAAGCTCAGGGACCTCAGGGATTCTAGGGGATTAAGTGATATCTCACACCACACCAGATCCCTAATTAAAAGGAACCTCCAAAGTGAATGGCAGCGGGTGGCCAGCCCCCACCTGCCTCCATTCTGAGGCTGTTGCCCTCAGCAGCCTCTCTGGCCTGGCGTTTTTTAATGCGGGTGGTTTGGAGGCACGGCTTTAGTAGGAATCTTGTTTTGATTTTTAGGTGTTGAATCATAAAGCTGAATTGAAGTTGCTTTTTGGACGCTTTCGTCTGGGGTCAGGAAGGAAATAGCCGGATCTTAAAGGCAGTAGCTTCTGCAGCCCCAAATAGAGAAGGCCATTTAATTCATGAAATTCGGTCTTTTTAAATTCTTACTTTTCCCTGTGGGTTTCAAAAGCTGAAATGTTTCCTGCTCTTAAACTGAGTATCCCCACATTTACCTTCATAAAATGGGAAAGAGAAGGGGGGGAGAAAATGCTCAGACTAACCTCTGACTGTGACATTTGTTATTTTGGACTAATTTTACAAAAATTTACAAATATCAATTCTTTTCTATAAGTAGTAGTAAATAATAACATTTTATTTCCCCACCCCTTTAATTTTCCTCTAGTAATTTTTTTTCTTTTCATTTTAGCGGAGATCCAGCACTGTTTGGTCAACGCCGGGGACGTGGGGTGTGGCGTGTTTGAGTGTTTCGAGAACAACTCTTGTGAAATCTGGGGCTTGCATGGGATTTGCATGACTTTTCTACACAACGCTGGAAAATTCGACGCCCAGGTAAAACATATAGCGTGAAGAATCTTCTGGGTTGGTGTGGCATGGTTGAAATATTGGCTGGAAGGACTTGCTCACACATTTCCTGAACTGTTATTTGAGACGGTTCGGTGCTCAAGGGTGTACAGAAGGGCACTGGGGTGTCTGCCGTGCACCACTGCTCTCTGAAGCTGCTGGTAGGCCAAATCCTCCTGAATTCTTATGCCCTTACTGCATAGACAAACACAGTGTCAGCCGGGCGGTGGTGGCGCACGCCTTTAATCCCAGCACTCGGGAGGCAGAGGCAGGCGGATCTCTGTGAGTTCGAGGCCAGCCTGGTCTACAGAGTGAGATCCAGAAAAGGCGCAAAGCTACACAGAGAAACCCTGTCTTGAAAAACTAAAAAAAAAAACAAAAAAAAAAACAGTGTCTGGACAACTAGAACCCAGTCCCGGTCCCCCAAAGTGCATTAGGACGAGAAGGCTGAAGTGGCAGCTGCAGGTAGCAGAGGCTCTTCTAGCTATATGTGGGCAGGCAGCCTAGATCATTCACAGCCTCCAAACAGCACTGAGCAGTCTCCTCTCCCACTCTGAAAAGTCAAAACCCTGACTAACTCTCACTTGTTCTATAGTCCCAGCTGAATCTGCCTCAGATTCCCAAGGTAAAGTTGAGTTGCTGCTCAGGGCAGAAAACCAATCAGCAAGCTGATGGTCCCCGCACAGAGGGGCCTAATTAGTGTTTAGATGGCATGTAGTATTAGGCTCGTCTTCGTTTTCTGCCCCGGCTCTCAGCCCTGTTGAAACACCCTGTTGTTACATATCATAAACTTCCTCTCCCATTTCATTGGAGCATAGTGACTAAGTTTGGAGGAGGCCAACAGTTGAGGTGTGATTCAGACACGTCACCAGTCACCATCCACTGACATCCTGTGGACAGCCTCACAAAGCAAGGCCTGGGAACCAGAAAGGGACGTGACGGGGCGGCAGCCCAAACTTCAGAGGATATGAGGTAGCAGAAGGGGAAACAGAAACGGAGGAAAGGGGAGAACTTTGAACTCCTTGCCGCTCCTTAGAAAAGTGCCCCCCTCAGAACCAACTGGAGCTAGGACACGCAATAGGAAATCCGGAAGAGAGGAGTATATTGAGGGCCTTCCCACAGGATGTCAGAAGAATACTAAAAAAACAGATTGCCACAGCCCTCACATAAATCCATCTTCCTTGTTTTCTCAGCCAATAGGAGTATGTTCTCAAGTTAGAGGTGCCCCTTTCAAGACACTTCTCAGTGTATAACTACTTAATAGAGTGAGAGCTAAGCCCTGCCCTCCACCACATTTGGCCCCAGCTAGAAAATCAAAGGAAAGGGGGGGTGCCACAGAGTGGACACGTGTGCCACGTGGGTTTTCAACCATCAGACACTATCTGTAGACCTTTCTAAAGAGAAAACCAAAATAAATAAACATACTGGCTGGCTTCCCACTTCCAATCTAAAATAGTTCACTTTCTCAACTCAGTGATTTCTAGGCCTGCCTTAAAAAAAAAAAAAATTAGCTCCTCAAATAGCCTATTTCCATATTTCCATAGTAATTGAAGGGAGATTCCTGGGTAGATACCCAGCAATGCCTCCAGGCCAGGGAGGTTGGTAAGAGGAAAATAGGGAACTTACCCCCACATCCCGACAGCTGTCTCCTTTCTGGTCTTGGCATAATCGGCTGAGGTTACCAGGAAGGAGAGCTGTGAACCACATGTATGCCTGCCTGGCTGCCTCGCCCCTCTGAGGCAGAGCTGGGAGGATGCTATTTGATGTTCCTGTCCCACTCCCATGCTGCCAAGCTAGAAGCCAGGTGGGCCTTTTAGAGGCTATAATCCTAACAGTTTAAAAGCAAAGAATGTTCCTCCTGGAAGCATGAGAAAGGGAGACAAGGACATGAGCTGGAGCACTGGAACTAAATGGGAGGCTCCGGGAGCACTGCTTCCCAGGGATGGAACACAAACAAGGATTGTGCTCCTCCTACTGATACTGGCAGTGGAGTTATAGCCAGATTCCTGGGTGTTCCAGGGAATCTGCTACCAGGAAGTTACCACCCAGCTGCCTGAAGGATGCCCCAGTTTCAGGGAAACTAGAAGAGAGGCAGATCTGTTCGTGTACAGAGCTCACATCCACTCTGGCCCAGCGCCAGGAATGTCATGTCACCCTTGGATGTAGCCTCCCACCTGAAACCACATCAATCCGAGTGGAACCTTGGTCCTCTGAGATCAAAAACTTCCACACAAGCATAAGACTGGCACATGCCATCCTGGCTAGTGACAAAATCTTGTCTCCTCTGCCCCCCCCCCCTTCTGTGTTCTCTGTCTTCAGGGCAAGTCGTTCATCAAGGATGCCTTGAGGTGCAAGGCCCATGCCCTGCGGCACAGATTTGGCTGCATCAGCAGGAAGTGCCCAGCAATTAAGGAGATGGTCTTCCAGTTGCAGAGGGAATGCTATCTCAAGCATGATCTGTGCTCGGCAGCGCAGGGGAACATCGGTGTGATTGTGGAGATGATAAATTTCAAGGACCTCCTGCTGCATGAGTGAGTAGCACCCCCATCCCCAGGAGAACCGGAGGAAGGGTCTCCTGGCAAGGGTGGGGTCCTGGGGGCTGGAAATGTGTTTGAGGATGCTACTTTTGGAAGTGGACTCCCTTCAAGTGGGTACTGTTATGGTGTGCTCCAGAAAGCTAGAAAGCCTCAGGAACTCATAAGATTTGAAATCCCCACGAACAGAAACAGACCATTATTTTCACTCAGTACAAACCCTCAGAAGCACTCCCTCCTCCCCACAGCCAAGTCCTGACTGGTTGCTGCCTGATCGGAGTCGGTACAACAGTCAGTACATACTGACGTTTCCCTGCCTTCAGGTGCTAGGCGCTACGCCAAGTGTGTTACATGCAATGTCCACCCAATCCTCACATCAACCCTTTAAATCTCCAAATTCTCACCACAGAAGAGAAAACTGAGCCCTACTGAGGTGCAGGACTCACAGTTAGGGGAGCAAAGCTGGGGTCTGGGGTCCAGGCAGCGTGGCAACAGCAGCTAGGCCATCAAAGGCTCCAATCCCGCCGGCAGCTCTTTCCGCCTTCAGAGCCCCTCTCCCTCCCCTTTCCCCTTCTCTAACTCCGCAGAAAACACAAAACCTCAGAAACGTTAGTCGGCTAAACGTGCATGCTAAAATGGACTTGCAGAGTCACAATCCAGTGACAGAAACAAATCATCTCATTCCTTGACGTTTACCCCAGCTGCGGGGTCCTGGGTCTTGCAGAGCAGTAAAGCACACTGATACAACACCATTGTTTCTAACGTGCAGCACGGTCCATGGGCCCCAAAGACGGAGCTATAGACCAAAAAGGAAGCCACCGGTTCAGCCAAACAGCGCTGACCCCTGCCCCCCCTTTGTTCTTCCAAACATTTACAAAGGAGCAATGGGACCGATGATAGTGGTTGTCTTTTATCTCTTTGGTGTGCCAGGACCTTGGCTATGGGCTATCCATGGATTCCCACGTTTGCCTTTCCCAACGAACTGCAAGACTGAAATTAGCATCTCCATGTCATAGAGAGGAAGGCTAGCGAATCTGAGGACTTAAGATTCTTCCTTGTGAGAACTGATTCCTTCTTTGCAGCTGGGGATTGGGAGTGCACACTCTCCTCTCACTATCCACAGGGGATGGATGGTTCAAGGTTCTCCCCTCCACATCCACATTCAGGAATGAGGAAGTCTCAGAAAAATTGATGGGGTGTTTGCACATGACTTAGCATCCTCCCATCGACTCTGGATGACTTATACCTAGAGACAATGCAACTGCTGCGTAAGTAGTTGTTAGTGCACGGTGCTTAGGAAACGATGTCAGGAAAAGTCTGCTTTAGTAGGTACAAGGGCAGGTTGCTTCCAGAACATTGATCTGTGGTTGGCTAGTTGAATCCGCAGACACAGAGCTGTGCATAACTGAAACTCCATGTGAGGAATAGGCCAGCAGTCAGAATGTCAGCTGCCCTGCTCCTCCCTGGCCTGTTCTAGTTAGACCTGCTAAGTTCATGGGTCTTCATGCATGACAAGGGCTTCTTCCTTTCCCTGATTTCTACCTCATTGTCACCAGAGAGTGCTGTGACATCCCTCGAGGTGCTCTTGAAAGAGGCACATGATCATGGCCAAGGAACCTCTGTCTTAGTAGCATATTTAAGATGACTTCGTGGTCTTGAGAGAGGGAGGTTGGGGGCCTGCTATAGTCCTGTGATATATTCATGGAGTGTGTGGAGTGTTGGTATCTTCTAAAGAAAGGTCTTTGGGAAAAGTGAAGCCTTTCAACTTTGGGGAACACACACCCCATCCTAGCATTTAGAAAGGGTTAGAGCACTGTGATGTCTAGTGTCTCTCCCACAGGAACATGGCTTCCAGGCCAGGGACTCTTGTTTCAAAGGATCCCCTAAACCATCTAGAACAAGCAACAGCAGCCAGCACCGGCCTGCCCTGCAGAAGCAGGTGGCCTACCCTGTGTAGAGGTGTGGGCGTCTTAAGAACATTGCCAGGAGGCTGTGTGCAGGGCCTCCTTCTCCTGCTAAGCCAGGACTTCTGGGCAGTGAGTTTGTGCCAAACTCCAGCTCCTTGAAACCCTCCATTCCCCATCGCCACGCAGCGATGCAATGCCCCAGCTTTGACTTTGACCAGCTTAACTGATTAAAGGATCCTTTCAGTCCCGAAATACCAAGAAAGCCATCTCAGAGTGTGTGGCAACAGTCACAAACAGGAGAGTGTGAGCCAACTTTGCCTTTCGCTTTAAAGAGGAGGAAGTCGGTTGCTGCAGAATCCAAACCACCCCATTCCTCTCCAGTGCTTGTGCAGGGGTGGCAGCGGCGTCCAATCTGCTGCAAGCTGCCCCTCTCACTGCCGCCTGTCCACCCCACTCTCTCTTTATCGTCTGCCTCCCCCTAGCTGTGGCCAGCCTCCATTGGCCTCGGCACACCCTGTCACCAGGTGCTGGCAGCCATCAAGGGTTTGGAGCCTCGGGCACATCCCCCTCCTTCAGCCTTGCTAACACTTAGTTGAGTGCTGGGTTTTGTCACCAGACAGGCTCAGCCTGCAGCCTAAGAAGGCAGCCTGCCAACCCAAAGCACGGCTTAGATTAATTTACTTGGCCACACACGCCCTCCCCACAGGACTCAGCTTCGTCCTTGAGAGAGAAGACAGAGCAAGCCGAGGAGAGGGGTACTAGTCCTGCCTCAGGAGGTCGGTGTCTGCCTTACAGGTCCAGGGTTCAGTGGCAGACACACCATGATGCGGAAGGCCCAAGAGACAACTGTATTCCTGAGAGAATCTTTTAAAGTATAGACGCTTAAAGGAGAGTCAGTTCAGAATCCCAGATCGGCCCAAGTGACCAAACATCTTGCTCCCCTTTTGCAGATGGACTCAGTGGGTTTGAGCTTCCTAAAACAGTGTTTGTTTTCAAAAGATGGAGGGGGCACGAACAGCTTTCAGCATCCCTTTCTATGTGCTCAAGAGACATTGCCGTACTGTCCTTACCACTGGCAGAAGCCTGCTTGAAAGAGGCTAAGAACCTTGCCCACCAGCCATGCACAAACTGTGATGACAAAGGAATCAAGTAGGCCTCAAAACACAGTTCCAGAACATTCCTTCTGGCTGTTCCCAGGCCAGGCCAGGCCTTCCTTGCCTAGGATTTCCCAAATGGGACTTTCCTTCTCCCTCTTCCTGGTTCCTACGTCCTCGAAGTAAGGACAGTTCCGACTTGAGGAGTGACTAGCAAAGACAGCACTGACCGTGGCACACATCCTAGTACATAATGCTGCTTTTTCTGCAGCGCAAGTTGCCAACTTGCAGAGAAAGATCACAAGGGCCCTAGGGTAGCCATCCAAGTGTCAGCTCGAGCCTTGGGGAGGAGAGGACACCCTTGCTCCTTAGAGCTGGCTCCATATCCCACAGTGATTTCCGAGGGGCGGGGGCGGGGAGGCATGCTTTATGTCATGGGCAGATTTATCCAGGACTTAATTCTAGTTAGCCACACAAAGTCACATGAAGCATCCCCACATCCTCTTGGATCTTAAAAGGCCAGTGAGAGTTAAAGAAGGCTCAGTGACTTAGGACCTGAGAACTCACTGATGGGGACATGCTTTATCAGGTAGGCCCATAAATGTAAAAAGTGGGCACACTTCTTCTGTCCCCTGAGTGAAGTCCTCCAGCAATTAGGTAAGAACAAGTCAGGGAAGCCAATATAGGTGGAGAATGTGGCTCTGAGCCCAGAACAGAGCATGTTGGTTTCACAGAGAGCTACTCATTCTGGACACGGGGGCCTGACAGCCACCCTCGCTCCAATGCAAGGAACATCCTGGCTGACTGAAAGGGCAATGGGCAGCATTCCCAACTCCCTGGTACCTGCAAAGGGAGAGCTACAGGGAGGTGACCCCACAGGGAAGTGGTCCAGCCCATCTCAGTCCATCCCAGATTCTCCCAGACAGAGAGAGACACATACCTACCCACCAGTTTTCCAAAAGGCCCTTTATTGTGAGCCTAAGTCAGGGGCACAGAGACAGGGAAAGTGACCTCAGAAGACCCTCACTGATGCCACCCGGGAAGGGCAAATATGGGGGCTCCTGAAAGCTGCTCAGGAACTCCTTAGCCCAACACTTTCTGGATTCTTCACTGAAAACACACAAACACACACACACCAATTTGATATTAAAGCCCCTTCACCGTTTGCCAAGATCGTCTCCACTCCAGCCAAAACTCCGCAGCTCCTGTAGCCTGGATGTGCCCAGGACACCCTTGCTCTCCTCTGTTCACACAGCTTCTCTGCCTGAAATGCCTACCTTAATGTCCTAACCCTCAGCTTTCCTCCTGTGATTCCACACACTATCGGTGGCCCTTTGTCCTGGGGCTCTACACCTGTCTGAGGAGCAAGAACCTGCCTTAACACTCTCCATTGCCTGCCGTGGAACCTAGTCCACAAAGATCACCCACTGAACCCAAGTTAAGCACTGTCTTTCTTGGCCTAGTCACAACGCCCCAGGGCTCCATTAGGACATGCTCCAACATTAGTCTTTATTCTCTGCTCAAATCTCTAGGCCCTATGTGGACCTCGTGAATCTGCTGCTGACCTGTGGAGAAGATGTAAAGGAGGCCGTCACCCGCAGTGTCCAGGCTCAGTGTGAGCAGAACTGGGGAGGCTTATGCTCCATCCTGAGTTTCTGCACCTCCAACATACAGAGACCTCCCACCGCAGTTCCTGAGCATCAGCCCCTGGCGGACAGGGTCCGACTCTCCAGGCCTCACCACCGGGACACAGGCCACCACCTATCAGAAGCCAGCAGAGGCACCAAGGGTGAGCGAGGGAGCAAAAGCCACCCAAATGCCCATGCCCGAGGTGGAGCAGGTGGCCAGAGCGCCCAGGGACCTTCTGGAAGCAGCGAGTGGGAAGACGAACAGTCTGAGTATTCCGATATCCGGAGGTGAAATGAAAACCTGGCCACGAAAGCTTTCCTCCAGGCCGTCCATTTTCTTACCTATGGACATTCCAAACATTTACCATTAAAGAGGGGGTATGTCACACGCAGGATGTGTGCGAATTATGGACTTCATGCAGGTGTATGAACAGGTGAGACGGAGACTCCAGGGCGGCAGGGTCCCAGGTGCCTGGTGGATTGGCACCTACTTAAGCTTATTCAAAGGAGTGCTGCCCTGAGTCCGCCTTGTAACTTTGTCCCTTTTGGTCTGTGGGAGCTAGTGGGTGGCTGAGGTGTGCTCTGTTGGGGGGAGGTCAGACGGGGAAGGGAGGGGCCACACATGGGTGCCAGGCCCTACCCTACAGTTTCCAGTGCCATCTGCAGGAACCAGGGCACCTGGGTTCCGGGGCAGGAGTGAGTGGGAAGTGTAGCTGTTAAGGAAGAGGAAGAACAGAGAGGATGCTGGGGCTTATCCATGCTTGGTGCCAAACTGAGTTAGTGTCATGTGTGGGACCTTGTGTTTCAGAGCTACTGGAAGGGACGTGGGGTAGTGCATTTTCTGTGTGTCATTTCTGAGCCATTGTTCTGTCGGGGGGACACCTGAAGGAGTGGCCCCTGTCTGTTAATTTTGACCACTGCTTCAGATCTCAATTTAACTTTTTTTTTTAAACCCATTGACATCTATACGTCTGTCATCTAAATAAATGGCTTTCAAACCACACAACTGGGTCACCAAAACCAGCTCAAAGGAGGAAGAAAACGAACCCCAGCCCATCTCTGGAGGGGAAATTGTTGTAAGTTCTAGTTTAAAAAGAGCTGAAATAGCACTATCCCCACGTGGGCTTCTACCGCCTGGAACAGACGGATACCTAGAGGGAAAAGCACATACCAGGGGTCCTTTCCTTAGACAGCCAGCCCCTAGAATTGTACTGTCTCGACTTGACCTCAGCCAAGTCCTATGGGACTGCACATTGAATCCGTGTGGCCAAGTTGAAAACCAGCCTCTGCATGCCAGAAAGAGAGAAAGGCATGGAGACCACTAAGGAAATTGCCTTTGGGGAATGCCACCCTCTGCATACTTGGGCAAATAGCTTTACTCTCTAAGAGACAGGGCCTTCCACAGCCAAAGCAGAAATTCAGCAACAAGGACCGAAGTGGGTGGACGAAAGGAAGGCCAAAGGGGTGAGAAGGGACTTGTGGCAGCAACGGCACTAAGATCTTCCTCGGGCTGTCACAGTTTCTGCTTTTGCAGCCAGCACACACAGCAGCCAGTGCCGTAGGAGTACGGGGTATCCTGGACCGGGTCTCTAGAGCAAGGCTCAGCCAGCTTTTTCTAGGAAGGGCCAAATAGTAACTAGAGAGTCTCAGTTCGGCAAGCCACATGGTTTCTGCTGCTGCTAGCCAGCCCTGCCCTGACGGCACAAGCGCACCCTCGGCTGCACAACTGAAGGGCTGGGCTCTGTTCCGCCACGGTTTTCTTCAACAGGCACCCAGCTGGACTTGGCTCACAGACCGTACACAGCATGCTCCCTGTTGTAGGGAGTGGGGATGAAAAGCATGCATTCTGCCTTACCCAGCTACTCTAGTTCTCTCTGGAAGGGCCCTGAGGCCAGAGACAGCCACACTGCTCTAGCACTTCCCTGAAGTGGGCTGGTGTCTGTCTCTACAGGCAGGATCCGATGTCAATCTCTCATAGGCTATGCTTGAAAACAAGACAAAACAAAATATCATTTGGGGAGGGGGTGGGTGGGTGACACGCTGTAAAAGCCCCCAGAAATATGTGGGGCTGCAGAGAGGAGAGGAGCATGTGTGCATTTGATCCAGTTCTGCCCGGAAGGAAGGAGGCCCAGCGTGCCAGGCTCTGCCACGGGAAATGAATGTACATTGCGGGGCTCTCATGCCGTGTGCTCATGTGGCACCTTGACTTTTTCTGCTTACATCACAAACATTCTCCGCCGTCTCTGGCTCAGCTGCTCACGGGTCACCGGCGTCCGGACTGGGTTCAACAGTGTCTTGTGTCCACTTACTGATGTTCTGTTTGTGGTTTCTACTGTAAGTATTTGTCCTTTGTATTTTTTATCTCCGTGCCTTCCCCCAAAGGCACAAACTCACTTTGTATGTTCATTTGAACCCACGACTGATCTCTGTGTGTATTTTCATGCCTTTGTCGTCCCTTCCCCCTCCAAAATTAAAAAAAAAAAAAAAAAAAAAAAAAAGTGCCATTTCACGACCCCTCGTGTGATTAGAAACACAGAATATATTTATCCCTCCGGTCCTTTTGCTCAAAATTGTCCAAATTCTTGTGTGCCTCGTGAAGGCGTTCGTTCGCACAGTCTAAATGTGAGTGAGGCAGCTGTTGAAAATGGCCCCTCTTTAGTCTTCAGCTTCATACACATTTACTGAAGAGCCTTCCTGTGAGGAAGGATGTGGGTCTCCAAATAAAGCTGCAGTGTTTATTTTGAGCGTCGAATCTTAACGAGATGATGTGAACACCTCTCCTTTGTATCAATAAATAGCCCTGTTATTCTAAAATGAGAGGGGCCAAAGACAGCAAAACGCTGACAGCCCAGAACCGAATAAACAGGAGACACCAGCCCAGAACTGTAGTCAGTGGTCCTCACACACGAGCGGAAACAGCATGGAGACGATGCTCCTGGCACCACCTCCCAAGGAAGAATAGTACCACGTGAGTTTCCCAAGTCAGTGTCTGCTTCTGTGCGGAGTTAGGTGACAGGGCCTGGGCCCTGTCACACTGTGTTGTTTTCCTTCAAGCATTAATAAAGGTTTTCAATAAACGGCTTGCACTTGAGCGGTATTATTTCTGGGGAGCCTTAATGTGAGGTGTAAAGGGAGATAACTGAACGGGAGGGCTGTTGACATTGCTTATACTTCATACTTGTGGGAGAGAAGCCAGGTGAAGAAGCCCCGCCCCACCTCCCAGGACTTCCCCCATCCCAGGAACTCTGGCCAAGGCCCCACAGAGCCACCAAGACAAAGAGGAAGAGGAGTTCTCTGCCGAGGGCCTAGAAATGCCACCCTTATCCCAACTCGCTTCTCAAAGCTCACTCCGCTGTCATCTTCCGACGCCGGCCCGCCCGTTCTTTCAGACTGAGGCTGCAGCCCCTGCCTTCAGCGTAGTCACTTGGTGGCCTGGAACATGTTGAGTCGCTCGCCACCTCCCTCACGACGCTTGGCTAGCACTGCAAAGCCAAGCTGGAGCTGTTCCTCACTACAGCATGCAGGGCCACGGTGCCCACACGGTATGCCCAGCATCCCTGTGGATATCAAGCAAATATTACCCGGTCCTGAGTCCCACAGTCTCAATTACTGTCCCCATTTTGCAGGCAAAGGAGTCCAGGTGGGCCAGCGTATTGTTTCAGCAGGTGAAAGGCTCTTTTGCTGTCAAGCCTGGTGACCTGAGTTCAATCCCTGGGACCCTCCTGGTGGAAGTAGAGAACCAACTCCTGAAAGCTGTCCTCCAATGTCCACATGTGCACTGTGACATAGGGTGGGGGTGCTTCCAAAGGTACACACAGACATAACAAGACAGACAGATAGATAAATGTAAATGGTTTAACTTGAAGAAGAAGAAGGAGGAGGAGGAGGAGGAGGAGGAGGAGGAGGAGGAGGAGGAGAAGGAGGAGAAGAAGGAGGAGAAGAAGGAGAAGAAGGAGAAGAAGGAGAAGGAGAAGAAGAAGAAGAAGAGGGGGAGCCCAGGTATAGATAACCATGTAGTTAGAGAGCAGGAGCCTGAACTCAAAACAGGTGAGGCCTTGCATGCAGCCTGGGAAGAGAATAAATATATTTCTAGAGCACCGGCCTTGGTGAAATTTCGCCACAGAGCAGAGAAGAAAATGGATGCTCTCATTTTTGCTTCCTGCAGAGACTGGAGGGCTGGTTGGCACAGGCGGACATGATGAGGAGCGTGTGTCTGCATGTGGACTTCATAGATACCCCCCACCTCCCCAGGCCACTGAGGAAAGCACCTGGGGAGCAGGTGGCTGGTGCGAGCACACAATGAGCCCTTCCCCATCCTTCCATCACACCCACTCCAAGGCCAGTCCTGTCTGAGCATCCAGGCTCCCCTCAACTGCTCACCACAGTCATCCTCAGCATGGCTGGTGCCGAGTCTTGAGGGCCACTTATATGCTCTTGTTTCTGCTGGTGCTGAGCAGATATCATTTCCAAACCCCAGGTCACAGATAAAGAAACTGAGGCGCAACCACATCGTACTATGCCCCGCCTCGGGATGAGGCCACTCGTGTCATTGGTGACATGCAGCCACCCTGTGACTCCATCTGACACCTGCTCTCATCCCAGGTATGAGCACATGGGTTTAATGCACACAAATGAATTCACACAGGCAGCTGCCTCCCTGAACCCTCGTGGTTGGATTATTAATCTTGGGGAGAAAGAAAGCAAAGAAGCCTCAAATATGCCTGGGTCTAAACAAAGTTCCCCAAGGGATATGGAGACACACCCCAAAATCTGGAGAGAGAAATCTGAATTTGTGCTGAAGTCAACAAAAAAGAAAGTCCCTGCCGAGGAGGGGACAAGCCTTGGCCAGCGAACAGCTTTTATGTGAATTATTTTTTCTGTGAGCAAAGAAGAGAGGGAAGCAACTTTGGACTTGAGTCCCATGTTACTGCTTGCATAAGCAGTTTAGTTTTATCACTCCTCAAAAAGAAAAAAAGAAAAAAAAACGCACTCCCCAAAGAGAAGAAAAGTCACAGAGCCAACTTGAATTCGTGCCTGAAATGGATGCCAACACCATGTACCCTGTCACTTGACAAGACCCAGACTCCATGGCTCCTTTGGGACTACACATAGCCACCATTGAACATCAGATGTGCCTGGATGAGCTATGACTTGGGGAAAAGAGAAATGCTCCTCTGAGTCGCTCTCAGAGGCCGCCAAGCTTCTCACCGGGTGCTCAGAAGAACCGTCAGTGGGTCCCAACACACGTGGTCCAGAAAGTTTTAGGATTCTGAAATGAAGGAGGGGGAAGGGCATGCAAAAGAAGAGCAATGTGAAGGACGCTGGGACCACCTGCTTGCCCTCCCGGCCAGCAGTGACTGCAGGAAGGGCTGAGGGGCAGAGAGCTTTGTACAGACAGAAGGAGCAGTCCCTAGAATTCACCCTCCTGCCTCAGCAGTAGATATCAGACAGCTAATTTAATTAGCTTATCATTCTGTGGGTCAGAAACTTGGAAGGAACTCATCTGGATGATTACACTCTTTCCCCTGGCATTGCCTGAGGTAATGAATGACTGGAAACTCTACTCCCAACATCCCAGTGTCCTCTACAAGATGGCGCCTCAATGCTCCCATCCCATCCCTTCCTCTGCACCACATCCTCAAAGGCCTCTTAGAACATGGCTGCCTCTGGGTAATTTTCCTCTTCCACAGTAACTGACTACTCTCAAGACAGGTTAGTGGATTTTACAGCATTTTCTTCAAATCCAAACTGTGGTTTGAGTTCACCCTTGGTACTAGAATAACTACAGGACCTAAATGCCATCAAGACAGAATGTAGTTCACTTCCTTATTTTTTGCAGTTACCTGTACGAGAGAGAACGAATGAGAAAATTTTTCTAGAACTGCCAAATTTTCCAAGCAAAGAAGTTTCAGTTTCTAACACAATGCCATGATGTGTTCTGTTGGTCTGACTTTGCTGGGCTAGAATTTTTCAAATGTGGTAGAGGGATGGAGACATGGTTCCATGGGGAAAGGCACCTACTGCCAAGCCAGACAGCCAGAGTTCAATCCCCGGGACCCACACGGCAGAGGGAGAGAACTAACTCTGACAAGCTGTCCTTTGACCTCCATCCCCATTCATATGTGCACACCCATGCCCAATAAATAAACAAGCAAGCAACTAAATAAATTACTGACTAGAGAACCTTGGAGTCAGGAGACATGGACAAGGGTACCAGTGCAGCCACCCACTCACCCTGTACCTCCTGCACCTGGTACACCTCTGAATAAGCAGTAGGAAAAGAAATGAGAGTTTGAACAAATGAGGACCCACTAGGAGGCTGGCCCTGGCAAGTCAGCTGAACTTTCTCGGTCTGTTTCCTCAACTCCTCCCATCTACCTCCTTCCCAAACAAGGCAATATGACTTTCAAATGACCACCACTATATGAACAGTCACAGTACACAGGAAATGCTTTGAACACCGTGGAACTCCACAGAAAGGATACCGCTCATATCTCTGGGCCATCTTGGAAGGTTGAGGCCTAAAGCTCAGAACACCCATAGGATGAGCCCACCCTGTCTTCGTTCTGTCCTATGGTCCGTTCTCAAAGGTAGGCTACAAAGTCATTGGGAGACAGAGGAAAGGGGCAGTGGTCCACAGTGGGAATTCGCTGAAAGTGGACATGAAGGGTTGAGGACCTACTAAGTGTGGGCTCTGAGTGAATCCCAGTTCCATACTAGGGCAGCAAACAGGCCCAGAGTAGCTCAACCACGCTGGGGATTCACAGGTCACTAAGGAGATTTTGTGGCAGCTCAATAAGGGCGTGTGAGCCCTTGCTGGGAGTGAAGCCTTCTCTCCAGGCCCTCCCTGGAAACCCCAGGGCAGGGTCCTCCCGGCCAGCTCACAGGCCTTCTCTATGAGATGGGAAAGCTGAGAGCAGCCAAGACTGGAGGAAAGAGATTAGGGTCGGGACCCACTCTGCCCTCGGCCAGGGTTCCCAAGAGTTTGACATTTGGAAAAGATCTGGCCCGGAGGAGCCAAGGATTCGGGGCAGGGCTCCTTCCGGCTCCCGGGAGTGTCAGGAGGAGGAGGAGGAAAGTGACTCAGCTGAAGAGAAATGTATTTTTAAAAAGCGACCTGATGAAGGCACAATGGCGTAAAATGTAACCCAGGACGCGGTCCAAATCCTTCCTCAGGGAAAGCGGGTGACTTTCCAAAAAGCCAGAGAACTCGCTCGGGTTTCTAAACCAAGAATAACACCAGGAAATGGAGACAGTCTTCTGGGCTGGGCAGCCCCCGAGCCCCCGGAAGTCTCCTCAGCCATGGCCCCCAAAGGGCTGGTGCCCACCTCAGATGGCGAATTGCTGAGTGCCACCAGGTCACAGCCCACACGGCCCAATATGGAAACAGTTGAGTTCCCAACAACCATTGCAATAAGCAGAAAGTGGCCAACACTCTCCCCACAGGACAGAGACAGCAATGGAGCCACTGTCAGGGGAGCTGGGAAGAAAGGGACCCTCTTGTCCCCTTCCAAGAACCGAGGTCAGGTGACCTTGAGTAGCGATGAGAATTAGGGAAAGCACAGGCTGAAGATCTCAGCACCCCCTACCTAGCCAGTCAGTGCTAGATTCACACTAGATTCCTGCCTCATCCTGAGTGGAACCCCAGAGAAACTCACAGAACACAGTGCAGAGGAGGGCCCAGGACAATTCATTAAACCCCAGCTCCCTTGAAGGGTCGGGAGGTGTCTTCATCCACCTGTGGCAAAGCGTCCTACTAACAGTGATAGAAAATGGCCCCTAGACTCTGAGTCATCGAAGTGTCTCAAAAAAGAGACACCATTTTGATGACCACTTCACTTTTTTTTTTTTTTTGGTTTTTCATTAGACTACAAAGTAGAGGTAACGCTGTGGTATTGCCATATCTGTGCCTCCTTCATACTTGTCAGGCCCAGCGAGGGCTCCGCCTCATGATGGCAGCAGCTATGAAGAAGGAATGGGGCTGGCCACCCTTGAAGCCCCTTCCTGCCAATCTTGAATGTCCTAAGCTTCCATTACCAACCACTGCTCTTCACACAGACACCCTTAGGGAGAGGCAAAATCTACCTCCAGGCCCAAGGCCCCCAAAGCTGCAAGGTTAGAGGGCCCTGAGTGCATGCTCACTATTCTCATTCCTGCATAACAAAAACAACTTCAAGATGAAGGTTGGTTTAGCTACACAGTTGGAGGGGGTACAGTCCGTCCTGCTGGGAAAGTCATGGCCGCAAGAGCGCAGGATGGCTGGTCACGTTGCATCCACAGTAATGAAGCGAAGAGAGTGATTGATGGCTGGCGCTTTCTCTTTTACTCTTTTTATTCAGTCCAGGACCCAAGCCAAAGGAAACACGTGATGAGTCTTCCTCTTCTCTTAAGCCAATCTAGAAATGTCCTCACAGACACGCCCAGAAGTGGCCCTGTGTCTCCTGGGTGATTCCAGATTAACCTAGGAAACAGAGAATTGACCATGTATGAGATTTCTTGGGGGACGGCTGAGAAGGGTCTCTGAAGAGCAGAGGCAGGCAGGCAGAACCTCGAGCACAGGGCCACCTGACCCTTGTAAAGAGAGAGAAGGAAGGCGGGCCAGTCAAGACCAAGGCTCAGCTCCCAAGTCTCAGCTCCCAAGGAACCAAACACTCAAATATATGAACCTATGGGGGCCATTCTCTTTCAAACCACTGCATCCCAGATGATGGAATTGCAAACCTGTATGACCACACCAGAATATGTTTAGTTCTTATGATGGGTTCTACCCATCTTCATGGGGCTGGTGTGAAAAATAAATAAGAGAATAAAGTAGTGGTAATTTGGAAACTATGAGGCTGGTCATAGAGGCCTAGCCAAAGGCAGCTCACAGGTAAACTGTGCCAAAATGTATGTTTTGGTTGATTAACATGCTGGGTTTGTTGTTGTTGTTTGGGGTCTTTTGAGGTGGGGTGGTTTCTTTTAAGATATGATCTCACGCCGGGCGGTGGTGGCGCACGCCTTTAATCCCAGCACTCGGGAGGCAGAGCCAGGCGGATCTCTGTGAGTTCAAGGCCAGCCCGGGCTACCAAGTGAGTCCCAGGAAAGGCGCAAAGCTACACAGAGAAACCCTGTCTCAAAAAAACAAAAAAAAAAAAAAAAAAAAAAAGATATGATCTCACTCCATAACCTAAGCTAGCCTGAACACTATGTAGCCCAGTATGGCCTCAAACTCATGGTAATCCTCCTGCCTCACTTTCTCAGGGGCTAAGTTTACAAGCACAAGACACCATGCCCAGTTTACAAGTTGATTTTGTTGTTGTTTTTGAGACAGGGTTTCTCTGTGTAGCCCTGACTGTCCTGGAACTCACTCTGTAGACCAGGCTGGCCTCAAACTCAAAGATTCACCTGCCTCTGCCTCCTGAGTGCTGAGATTAAAGGCGTGCACCACCACTACCCGGCTAAAAGTTGATTTTTCTTTTTAACGCCATATTGATTGCTGAATGTAGAAGCCTTTAAAATCTGGATTTCCCACTTTTCTTCAAAAATAAAAACACACAGCCTACCTTGTAGCTCAGCACAGTCCCCTGCTCTCTGTGCTTCACTTGGGTATCCCACCAGGCCAGCCTCTGTGGGTCTGCTGTCTACACCAATGGGCACACCCAAGTCATTGATGTAGTGGGATCTTTTAGAAAGCCTAACAAAGGCTCCCAGTGACTCAGAAGCTGGGGAGATGGCTCAGTGGGTAAAGGGCTTGCAGACAAGTTTGAGGACCAGCACCCGTGTAAATACTGGGGAGGCATGGCCCACCTATGATCACAGACCTCAGGAGGTGGAGATAGGAAAGCCCCCAAACACACTGGCTAGCTAGACGAGCTGCATCAGCAAGCTCTGGGTTAAGTGAGAGACTCTTCCTGAATCTGTATGATGGAGAACAATTGAGGAAGACCCTCAACATGAACCATTGGCCTCCACATACACAGATAGACAGACAGACAGACAGACAGACACGTGTGCGCGCCCACACACACACACACACACACACACACACACACACACACACACGACTGCAGGCACACACATGTACATACACACACATGTGCACATAGGAGAGCACACCCCACCACACATTTAAAGAAGAAGGAGGAGAAGAAAACACCTGATAATCAACTTATAGATAGGAAAGGTACATAGTTTGTCCCACAGTTTTTGGAAGCTTCTAGGCCTTTTCTGGGGACTTTATGGCAATGGTGGATGGCATATGGTAGAACAACGGTGGGTGGCATGTGACAAATAAGCAAGAGAGAAAAAGAACAGGCCCCCAATTCCCTCCCAGTGCATTGCCCAGTGACCTTCCTTCCCCCATCTCTACCATCTCCAGGGAAGTGCCTCCCTAGAGAGCAAATGGAGACATGGCCTCTCAGGGGTATTCAGCATCCAGACTCCAGTGGGACAAAGCTATCTAGGAAACAGCACTGAGCTGGAGAATAGGCCTCCAGGGGGCCCAGGCCAGGCCATGGAAAATCCCCACACTTGGGGAATTCTGAAACTCCTACAGATAAAGTGAAAAACAGAGATGCTTCCAAAGAGAAAAGAACATCCCGTAGGCAGGATGAGGGTCAGTGTGGTTTCTGATTTTCAATAGAAACTTTGGGAGCCAGAAGACAAAGGACCAATCCTTCCCACATTGTAAGTGAAAGGCAATTTAAACCCAGTCGGTTCCCGGATCCCCAACAGGCAGGGTGGTTCTCAGCCATGCAGATTCCCACAGGTGCTTCACAGGAAGCTCCTGGCATTGGCCTGGGCTCCATCAGAATGAGGAGTAAACTAAAGAGAAAGATGTCATCAGATCCTGGAAGGAGAGCTTTAGCCAGGATAGAGGGAAGGATCCAGGCAGCTCCTTTAGCAACCAGAGATGGAGGAGATGACAGGTAATCACTTCAATTCTACCACAGGGTTTGGGTATAGGACAGCAGGATCAAATTAGTTCTAGGAAACTAAAGATGGGGCCAGAGCCAGGTGGTGGTGGTGAACACCTTTAATCCTAACACTCAGGAGGCAGAGGCAGGAGGATCTCTATGAGTTTGAGGCCAGCCTGGGCTACAGAGTGAGTCCAGGAAAGGCCCCAAAACTCCACAGAGAAACCCTGTCTCAAAAAAATCCCCAAAAATAATAAAACAAACAAATAAATAAATAAGATGGGGCCAGAGAGATGGATCAGTCATTAAAAAGCACTTGTTATTCTTGCACAGGACCTGGGTTCAGTCCCTAGCATCCAATGGTGGCTCACAGCTATCTAGAACTTCAGTCATAGGAGATCTGATACCCTCTTCTGGCCTTCTGTAGGCACTACACACACATGAGGCACATACATATATATGTACATGCATAGATACATGTAAAACACTCATACACATAAAATAAAAACAATAATAATTTAAAAGGATTTTTAAAAAGGGAAAACTTAAACCAAAAATGAGCAAAGGACTTGAACAGGCATTTCAGGAAAGATGTCCCAAGGCCAATGGGCACCTGAAGTGACCTCAAATCCCCAGGCACCAGGAAAAGACCAAGACCACAATGATAGCTACTGCACAGCTTACAGATCAGAGAAAGCCAGGAATGACAATCTCGAATGTTGACAAGCCAGTGACACTGCTAGAAATCTATACTGTGTCACCTAAGTACAGCTACACTGAAAAATTTCAGACTATTTCCCACATAATTAAATACACTCATCTCAAGGCCTTCTAAACCCACCCTCAGGTTCCCATCAGAGTAATATGCATACACCAAAATGTTGACACAACAGTGTTCACAGTAGCTTTATGAAAAGTCAGAACCAGCTGAAATATCTATAAATAGGGAATGGAGAAGCTGGATGTGGTATGCCTATCCAAGGAGTACTACTCAGCAGTGAAAAAGAAAGAACAACTCATAGACACAGCAGCACAGATGGCTCAGTGAGTGTGTGAAGTATGAGTGTGTGAAGTGTGAGTGTGAGTATGAGAAGCCAGTGAGAGGGGTGAGAGGCAGGACAGTCTAGTCACATCAGGTTCAGAAGCAGAAAACATTAAGCTATGGGGACAGAAGTCAAAAGAGTGGTTATCTCTCCAGGGACAAGGACACAAGGGAATTTTCTGCAATGACATAGATGTCTTATATCCTAATCTTAAAACTTTTATGTTTGGGAATAGTCAGTTCTCCTGTAAATCTCAGAGGAAAAGAAAATTAGACAAATCTTAGTTGATGCAATATTAACTTCTTAAAATTTAAAGAGACATCAGGTGTGGTGGTGCATGCCTTTGATTCCAGTGCTCAGGAGGCAGAAGCAGGTAGGTCTATGAAAGTTCCAAGCCATTCTGGTCTTATATAGTGAGTTCCGGGAAAGCCAGGGCTACATAGTGAGATCCTGTCTCAAAAAATAAACGTAAGTCAAGAGTTATACTCCACAAGAGAGCGTAGGGGGTGAGAGAGATAGCCCAGCCATTAAAGCTCTTGCCCTACAAGCAGGAGACTCGAGTTCAATCCCCAGCACCCACATAAAATGCCAGGCACAGCAGCACAGCACCCCTAATCGTAGCACTGGGGAGGTGAAGACAGTCTACTGATCAACAAGCTACAGGTTCCATGAGAGATCCTGTCTCCATGAGCAATCCTGTCTCCATAAGAGATCCTGTCTCCAAAAGTAAGGTGAAAGAAATAGAGAAAGACACCCTCTGGCCTCTGAATGTGCATGCACAATCGCCCCAGTGCATATACATGAACATGTTCATGTACATACATATATCACATGATCCGACGCACTCCCTGTGGTCTGAGCCTAGCTTGGGTGTGGACAGTGATATGGTGATAACATTAGACCTGTGTCTATTACTTGCTCAAAACCTAACTCCAGGGGGCTGGAGAGACGGCTCAGTGGTTAAGAGCACTGACTATTCTTCCAAGGGATCTGGGTTCAGTTCCCAGCACCCACATGGAGGCTCATAACTGTCTGTAACTCTAGTTCCAAGGGACCTGAAACCCATGGCAAAAAAATCCAATGCACATTTTAAATAAATAAATAAATAAAAATTACTAAAAAAAAATTTGAAAAAAAAAAAAACCTAACTCCAGTGGATCAAAGATCAAAACACGAAATACTGAAACTGTAGAAGAAAACATATCAGTGCCCTACAGGATGTATGTCTTAGTTAGGGGTTACTACTGCTGTGATGAAATACCATGACCAAAACAACTTAGAGAGAAGAGGGTTTATTTGACTTACATTTCCACAGCACTGCTCATCACTGAAGGAAGTCAGGAAAAGAATTTAAACAAGGCAGGAACCTGGAGGCGGGAGCTGATGATGCAGAGGCCATGGAGGGGCAATGCTGCTTACTGGCTTGCTCTTCATGGCTTGCTCAGCCTGCTTTCTTATAGACCCCAGGACCACCAGCCCAGGTGGCTCCACCCACAATGGGCTGAGCCTTCCCCCATCAA